TTTGTCGTTACGGGATCGGGTGGTAAGGCTCGCTGGTGTCTTTCTGTATGAAGTGTCTTTCTGACGGGGTCGGGTGGTATCCAACCCAGTGAAGATCCTGGTTAGAATTGGTCTTCACTAACCCATGTTTGTCGTGACGGGATCGGGTGGTAAGGCTCGCTGGTGTCTTTCTATATCCGACCCGTGAAGATCCTGGTTAGAATAGATCTTCACTAACCCATGTTTGTCGTAACGGGATCGGGTGGTCAGGCTCGCTGGTGTCTTTCTATATCCGACCCGTGAAGATCCTGGTTAGAATTGATCTTCAGTAACCCATGCTTGTCGTAACGGGATCGGCTGGTCAGGCTCGCTGGTGTCTTTCTTTATCCGACCCGTGAAGATCCTGGTTAGAATTGGTCTTCAGTAACCCATGCTTGTCTTAACGGGAACGGCTGGTCAGGCTCGCTGACTTGTTTGACACATGTCGTATCCCAGTTGCGTTGATCGATGTTCATGCTTGTTGATCACTGGATTGTCTTGTCCAGACTCGATTATTTACAGACCGCTGTCATAGCTGGGGTGTTGCTGGGTGCGGCGTTAAACAACACAACAGCATCCTTCTATAGCCCTACGCAAATGTATGTTTAACAATGGATCTCAGATTGAGGCGAAATGGACACATCTGGATCTGACTAACCGAGATTCACGACAGCCTTGCCTATACAGCACTCCCGCAAACAATGAATGGAAAATCTCAGTTGAATGTTTCACACATTAGGGTGTGTTACCTCGATACATATGTAAAGATACAATTCACAGCTATTTCGTGATATCAGATCATATCAATGACATATTTATATCCCGTTTTATAGCATCCTAGTGTAGTTTTACACCAGTTTAGCAATATTCCAGCAATATCACGGTGGGGACACCAGAAATGGGCTTCACACATTGTACCCATCAGGGGAATCGAACCCGGGTCTTCGATGTGACAAGCAAACGCTTTAACCATTAGGCCCTACCGTCTTTCTTAAATATAGACCATCTGTGGGAAAGAATACCCAAATTCCGTTTGGAAGGGGAAATAACTGCGAAAACAATATAATGTGATGACAATGTTAAATATATTAATTAATTTACTAAATTGTTTAGTCATAGGTAGTAACTGATTTGGTGAACAATTCATGCTAAAGAGTGAGCCGCTCTCAGATTGTGTGAGTCATTGATATTAATTGGCTGATGATGTAATTATATTTTGAACGAAATATACCGTTCGGCGGACAGGCCGGATGATTTGAAAACTTAGTTTGAGTAAACAAAACCCAAACTGCACGGTCCGCTTCTGGGTGAAACTCAATTTTCAGGAGCATCTTCAACCCGTGAAGATCTTGAAGAATTGGTCTTCAGTAACCCATGCTTGTCGTATGAGTCGACGGTGGTCAGGCTCACTGACTTGGTTGACACGTGTCATCGTATCTCCATTACGTAGATTGATGCTCATGCTGTTGATCACTGGTTTGTCTGGTCCAGACTCGATTTATTACAGACAGCCGCCATATAGTTGGAATATCGCTGAGTGCGGCGTAAAACTAAACTCACTCACTCAGGCGCATCTTCACGCAGGTGATAGGAAAATTAATTGTGTCTCTAAAAGACTCGTTTTTATTGTCGTTTCCTGAATTCTGTAAACCGAGTTCTGGTGTGTCGGATGCATCTATTTCTTAAATAACAACTGGTAGCATCACATGTTGAGTGAGTGAACACGTCTTTTAGCAATATTCCAGCGTTATGAAAGGATCACAGAATATGTTCTTACAGTTGACTTATGTATACTATTCCCAGAAATTATTGAGAAAGTTGATATGATTCTCTTACAACCTAAGTGTCTTTTCAGTACTTTGTGAGACCCCATTGCCCTGCCGATCAACGTTCGTAGGAAATCGTGTGTTAGTGTATCCCAATATTTGGCCACTTCTTTCTTAAATTTCCTCAATATTTCTAAGTCCTTTTTGGTTTATTCATTACTCCCCACACAATCTCAGTAGGGTTAAGATCTGGGCTGTAGCAAAGGCCCTCGTGTCTTTGCGAGGATTAATGATTAAAAAAATATTGTTTCGAGATGACCCCCGACTCGAAATGCTTCACAGTACAATGCATCATGACAAGGCCGGACACTTCGGTACACCCCACCCGACTGCTTTGCCGATCGCTACGCTACCATCGCATGCAATCGATTAAAACTTGTAAACATAATCATGGATGATTGGTCTATTGATCACCACTCATGACACCTACCAGTTCTTTATTCTTATTTCTGCAAGTCGATTGAAGCCCGATTTTGACCCTCAACTAAACGATCTTGACACAAATGGCTGACGATATATCCGCACAAAACGGGTGTGTGGTCGAAGCAAGCAGTCGGGTGGGGTGCACCGAAGTGTCCGGCCTTGTCATAATGTATTATACTGTGAAGCATTTTGAGTCGGGGGTCATCTCAATATTTCTTCTCCACATTTTTCAAACTGTTCGAAAAAAGCCATACAGAACTTTCATCAGAAAAGAAAACATTATCCCAATCTTGATTTTCGTGAGCCCTACACCTGTTTAAACGTCTTTATTTTTGTGCATCTTTCATCAGTGGTGAGAACATTCCGCGCTTTTTCACCCAGTTAAGTCTTTGTAATTCTTGTCTAAAGGTTTCATTACATACCTGAGGCCTTCCTCTATTAATCATCTCATTTCTGATATTCTCAACGCTTTTCAATTTTCCCCTACTCACAATCGGACAATCGGATCCGTAGTACTGCCCCTATCTTGTGATCACACCCAACTCCTGGCTGAACATTATTCAAAGTTCTGTATACTGTAGACAAAGGAATGTCATGTCTACCAGCTAACTCTTTTGCATTAGTCACACCCCTTTCAAAATCATCTTCTAGAACAAGCTTTCTTTTCTCATCTGCTGTCAAATCTGCCATGTCAACAAAGGAAGCCGTCTGCTACACCAGGGGAGATAACTCTTGATGTAGTAAGATTCATTTAGTTAGAGTAGCCTCCCATATTGAGTACCTCACTACATAATATAACATCTATTTTAAAATTCTATAATCAGTATTAGGAAACAAAGATTTTCTCAATAGTTTCTGGGAAAACTGTACATGCACAATGTCGTTTGATGCCTGCACTCTAAGACCTAGATGATAGAATTAGTTTGTCAGTCACGTTCAGAAAAAAAAGGTTTAGAATTTATGCGTGTGCAGGCATGTATTAACACAATTAAACCTGGCTAAGGTCAAAATTCAAGATTGCTTTTGATTCACATACACGTCACAGTTATATAGAGTCGTCAGCAAAAAAACGCAACAGCAGTAAACACAATCCTAAAAAATATACAACGGGTTAAATGCATAACCTGAAAGACCACAACTGGCATGGAATCCAGTCCCTTAATGCGTCAGTTCGCCTAGCAGAGCTGCGTCAATTGGGGGGCAGCTGGAATTCTGAGTTTGAATCCCAGTGTGCCCTGATTACGTCTCCAGACGTGTCAACACCGCATCCATACTCGTAGGATTCTCAAAAAGGGGTAAATGTCTGAGGCTGATTTAGTTCTTTCTTTTTTACCACTTCAACCCGCGAAGATCCGGGTTATAATTGATCTTCAGTTACCTACGCTCAAGCGGTAAAACTCAGTGTCAACAGGTCACATGAATCTCCGGTCTCCCTGGGGCTCCTTTTCAATTTAAATGGGTTTATTTGTTACAATCAAAATTATATAAAACATGTCACATGAATTCAGCAATTTAAATGGGTTTATTTGTTACAATCAAAATTATATATTTAGCGAGTAAGCGTTAGTCTACCATCTCATTGACTTGTGATATTACTGAATACTATTTGATACGTTTTCCCAAATGCATGCCATTATCGTGTCGCGGATCGGAATGTAACACTGGAATACCACGTCATCAAATTGTAAATTAAATTCACAATTTAATCACAATTACACTTTCTGGTTACATAAAGTAATCATTGTGTATCCTGTATCTTGATTTATGTTATTAATCTATTTTTGTTATCTAATTATTTCTATTATTATTGTTTGCATTAGATATTGTTCACTTTAAATTCAGCGCGTGTGCAAGGTATCGACAGTACACCGGCTTACCGTTATATATTTATACCGGCTTACCGTTATTTATTTATACCGGCTTACCGTTATTTATTTATACCGGCTTACTGATATTTATTTAAACCGGCTTTCTGTCATTTATTTGTACCGGGTTACCATTATTTACTTATACCGGCATACTGTTATTGATGCATTAGAACGGACTTAAGATGGCAGAGAACAGATTTACCATAAATGCCATTCTTTGACTCGTTAAACGTGATAATTATTTCAGTTTGACTGTAATATGGAAACATAATATTTTCGCAATCGCCAGCACGGTAGATTCGACGATGAGGATATGGAAAAAATATGCCATCATAGCGATCAGCTGAACAAATTTGATACGTATCATATTGTTTTAAATATGATAAACAAAAAAACCCAACCCAACAAAAGCAAACAACGAATGTTGACAATGACCACTGGATGATTAGAAAAATTCAAGGTGCAACATGTCAATACTGTTTGGCAATGGTTCGTAGGTTCTATATCCAGCAGATTTTAGGCGATTTTGGATCGTTCTAAAGTACAAACGACGATATGGAAGCCAGGGATCAGTTCAGTGAGTGAGTGAGTGAGTGTGGTTTTACGCCAGTTTTAGCATTATCCCCGCAATATCACGACAGGGGGCACCACAAATGGGCTTCACACAATTTACCCATGTGTGGAATCAAACCCGGGTCTCCAGCGTGACGAGCGAACGCATTAACCACTAAGCTACCCTGGATCAGTTCAGAGTCCGTACGGTGTATACGTATAACACCAAGCCTCCTATTTTAGTGTCTAGTGTCTAGTGTCTAGTGTCTCTCGTTTCGTCTGTTTGTGATTTTCTGTAATTGTTGGATCCAGAATGGGCGGGGAAATATGGTCGCACCAGCTAGACTACTACCTGACGTTGATGGGCTACACTGTCGGAGTGGGCAGTATATGGAAGTTCCCCTACATGTGTGCCAGGAATGGAGGAGGTAAGTTGATATCAGTGATTTTTATTGTCGTATCATTATCTGATACTTTGAGAAACGAGAGGTGACGTTTGACTTGGATTTGCAGAGTGATTCATATACCCGTGAAGATCCAGGTTGAAAGCGTTTTTCAGTTATTCATGCTTGTCGTAAGAGGCGACGAACGGGATCGGGTGGTCAGGCTTGCTGACTTGGTTGACACATGTCATCGTATCCCAATCGCGTAGATTGATGCTCATGCTGTCGATCATTGTATTGTCTGGTCCAGACTCGATTATTTACAGACCGCCGCCATATAGCTGGAATATTGCTGAGTGCGGCGTTAAACAAACACACAAACATAAATAATACAGAAAACATATAAACATTGTGTTACAAGTGTTCAGTTCATGTGGGACACCAGTCCAAACCTTTCACTACACCCGTGACAAAATCAAAGGGGAAAACCGTGTCATCCTAAACTCTAACAAAGTCAGTAACTGAAGCGACAAAACCAATTCCTACCCACAAAACATTCCTGGTAAATGTCCTCAATGTTTTGACGATTTCTTTTTTTACCACAGAAACCCACGAAACACAAGATAAAAGACATCACTGAAACAGTTAAATCATACAGGTTAATAGTGAGTGAGTGAGTTTAGTTTTACGCCACACTCAGCGATATTCCAGCTATATAGCGGCGGTCTGTAAATAATCGAGTCTGGACCAGACAATCCAGTGATCAACAACATAAGCATCGCTCAGCGCAACTGGGAACCGATGACATGTGTCAACCAAGCCAGCGAGCCTGACCACCTGATCCCGTTTGTCACTTCTTACGACAAGCATGGGTTACTGAAGGCTCATTCTAACCCGGACCTTCACTGGTTTACTGGTTAATATGTCACTCGTGTTGGCATACAGGAGCATTAAACACGGTTTTGTAAAGATATATAGGTTAGCATACCTATCAATGGATACTAACTTTCAGCAAACATAATGAGAATTGCACAAATGACATGCTGATTAAAATTAATATTTTATCTATACGTCGTAAAAAATACAAAAGACTTCCGGAATCCATTTTCCTATCTTGTCAAACACTTAGATTAAAGCACACATTCTGAATAACGTTGTATTGCTTCGTTCCAGGTAGTTTCTTAATCCCGTTCATCATTTTCACCCTGCTTGGGTCTATACCACTGACGTATCTGGAGATGTTCGTGGGTCAATATTCCCGAGGTGGACCAATCAGCGCCTGGAAAATATGTCCGCCATTACGAGGTTGGTGGGAGATTGGCAGCCTCAGCAGTTCAAGAGAAAACTGTGGAACAAACATATAACATATCCTTATACCTTTTCATTTCATTATTTATATTAGCCAATAGTGATCATGATATTGAAGAAACCTTGTTTACAAATGATTACGTGTGCTGTTGTGTTCATAGTATATACCCATGTTGCAGTAGTCAGTTATACTTTACTTGATTTTAGCTAAATACATTCGTACAACTCTGACTTCCTTCAATTTTAACGCAATATTCTTATCTCACACTATATCCCGGTCTTTTAGTGGTTAAAGCGTCCGCCCGGAGGGGTAGGCTTCCTTCAGATATAAACGCTCGGCATTTAATCTAATCAGTATATCTGGAGGGGTATATCTCATCCTCGTGGGCGGTAGGGTAACCTAGCAGTTAAAGCATTCGCTCGTCAAGCCGAAGACCCGCGTTCCATTCCCACATGAATACAATATGTAAAGCCCATTTCTGGTCCCCGTCGTGATATTGCTGGAATATTGCTAAAAGCGGCGTAAAACTAAACTCACTCCCTCACACTCACCCTCGTATTGCAAGGCTGGGCCTGGGTTAAGTCTTAATGACCTGGCTGTTCGCCGTCCACAACCACCAAGCCATACATCCTTCAATACAAAGGCAATATTCAAATCTCACATCTCCTTCTCTTATTGCAGGGGTAGGCCTGGGTTCAGTGTTGATCTCGTGGCTGTTCGCCATCTACTACCCCGTGTTCTTCTCCTGGATCCTGTACTATCTCTACTTCTCCTTCTTCCCCACCCTCCCATGGACACAGTGTCACCAGGAGTGGAACTCCCCGAACTGTGTAGATGAAACTGCACGTGACAATAACACGTTGATGGCCTACAACTCGACAACATCACTCAGCAACTTCTCAAACTACGGGATGAACACCACACTCAGTATACTGACAAACCTGTCGGCTGGAGACAGTCATCCAGAAATATCGGCCTCCGAAGAGTTCTTTCGGTATGCTCTATAAATAGTAGTTTCGTCATATGAGCGAAATATTCTCAAGCACGACGTTAAACCCAATTTCACCCTCACTTCTATAAAAAGTATGCGGGAAAAATATAAATGTGATTTCCTAATACAGGGTATATACTTGTACCATTGTGATTAAAGCGCTGATAGACAAAGGCGACGCCATGTGTGTTGGAGAACAGGGGAAGTAGCACCTATCTGGCCTTATATATTTGCATATTTATCCCAAAATAACATGTTCTTCCTTTGTCTTTATCATTCCACTTTTCTGCGTTGCACGCAATTCTTTTTGGTGCCATGGTCCACATGTCTTGGATTTTTAATCCTGGATTATGAACATTGGATTGTCAGTACCAAATTCGTGCTTGTGCACCGAGGTAGTGAATAATTTGGAACTACATCACTTTGGGCAATCCTCTTGCGTTAAGTTGATATCCTGAAACATGTACTTCTAAAGACCCAGTCCTATTACTCCCTTTTCAGAAACCGAGTTCTAGATATGACAGATGGCCTGGAGAACATGGGAACGATGAGATGGCCGCTGGTCGGTTGTCTGGCCTTGACCTTCCTGTCTGTATATTTATGCATCCTCAATGGAGTCAAATTGTCTGGCAAGGTAAGCGGATACATAATGTAACGCTACATGTGACGGGACTGTTACTACAGCATCATCATCATACATCAAGGATGTAGGAGTAAAAGTAACACCAATGGTGGTAGAAGCAGCAGTAGTATCAAAAGTAGTGGCAACATCAGCATCAGTGGCAACATCAGCATCAGTGGCAACATCAGCAACATTAGTATTAATGATAAAGGACGTAGTAATATCAGCAAGTAAGTAGAGCGTCATCTTTATTAGTAGTAGCCATTGCAGCAGTAGCACCGTCATCATCGTCATCATCAACAACATCATCATCAGCAGCAGCAGCCACAGCTGTAGTGGTAGTAGTAGCAGCAGCAGTAGCAGCAGAATCAGCAGCAGCATTAGTAGGGGTGAGGATAGTAGTAGTAGTAGTAGTAGTAGTAGGGTAGAGGTAGTGAGTAGTAGTAATAGTAGTAGTAGTAGTAGTAGTAGTAGTAGTAGTAGTAGTAGTAGTAGTAGTATGAAGAGGAGGAGGAGGAGGGGAGAAGGAGGAGGAGGAGTAGCAGCAGCAGTCATAACATGAATCACCAATAAGTGCAAATTGAGTTTAAGGGTGCCCAGTCCTCTTATACTTCGAAACTGATTCACAGCACAGGTCTGTGTCCTTGAAGCATGCCAGAAGCCAATGATCGTGAGTTCGAATCCCGTAAATACGTTTCTAGGTTTATCAGATCCACGTCCGTGCTTGTGGGTTTCACCAAAGACTATACTTCTAAGACCTGCATTATAATGGACTTACTATGTGTTGTCTGTTTTAGATCGTGTACGTGACTGTGTCCTGTCCCTACATCCTGATCCTGGTATTCCTGGTCCGTAGTTCCACACTCCCCGGTGCTGTTGACGGTGTCATGTTCTACATCATGCCAGACTTTAATAAACTTGCTGATCCAAAGGTAATGTAGATTCTATGCTGAAGCTTTATCTAGATAAAGATGTCACGGATTCAGGTCTTGAATTGTCCCAAGGAAAATAAATGATGCGACGGGAAACGTCGCTTAAGATTAAAACCAGTTTATTGCCTGTGAAATACGGAGATTACAACGTTTTTTCGCATCAGAGTGTTATGTTTTGTCAACGCCGCCCCAGTGTTTCACATAATCTCCCCCTTGAGGATCACTTTGGAATTGCCTCCCATCAAAAAGACTGAAACTTGATGTCCCTATGTCCCTAAGTTCATAAATCATCTGGGGCGCTTGTCGACTAAAGTACCGCAGTACGCTGTGCAGAGTTGCCTTCCTTGGTCGCTCCAGAAATCTATGCTCGTGTGTTGGCCATCCATGCATCAGAGATACGCCGTGATAACCATCCTCGGTTTGGCATCATCATGTTCATGCTCGTTTGTTTGCATGAAACCCATCGGGTTAGAATTGATCTTGTTACCTATGCTCAACAGTAAAACTTGTCTACAGGTCACATGAATTCGGTCTCCCTGCTCCTTTTCAATTTAAATGGGTTTATTTATTTGAAGTCTACCATCTCATTGAAGATATTACTGGAATAGAATTGATACGTTTTCCCAAATGCATGTAACGTGTCGCGGATGATTGTCGCAAGAGGCGACTAACGGGATCGGGTGGTCAGGCTCGCTGACTTGGTTGACACATGTCATCGTATCCTAATTGCGTAGATCGATGCTCATGCTGTTGATCACTGGATTGTCTGGTCCAGACTCGATTATTTACAGACCGTCGCCATACCTGGAATATTGCTGAGTCTGGTGTAAAACTAAACTCCCTCACTGACTCACCGTGATGTACAAAAATACTGGTTAAACGGGAGTTGAACCAAACTCACCAAACAATGTCTTAAGACATCTCATTTTTTTTGCTGAACATTCTAAATATCGGCTAGTTTTGCGCACAACCACCAGTACCTACAGGAATAATGTAAATAATGTAGGTACTGAGGTATTGTCTCCCCAGACCCGTGAAGATCCGGGGTGAATAGGTCTTCAGCAACCCATGTGCTTGCCATAAAAGGCGACTATGCTTGTCGTAAGAGGCGACTAACGGGATCGGGGTGGTCAGGCTCTCTGACTTGGTTGACAAGATCGGTTCCCAGCAGATCGATGGTGGCCTCCAGCTTACGGATATTGCATGTGCGGCGTAAAACTAAACTCACTTTTAAACATATGTGCCAAGCTTCCGGATACTCGTGTTTTAAACATATGTAAGTAACATTGCTATGTTTTAATATGTATTTCAAATTTGCATTAAAATAAGAGTATTAAAAATGAACTTGTGTATGTGAATGAACTTGGTCTCGTCGCTACATGTCAGAAAATGCTGATGCAAAGATAAATTTATAAAATCACTCCGCTCCACTCATCGATTCACGCACGCACACTGAATTCGCTCACTCACCCGCTCCACTCAACTCGCTCATTCACGCACGCACACTTAACATTCACTAACTCACTGCTCCTCTCCAATCACTCACTCATTCACGCACACGTAACATTCACTAACTCACCCGCTCCTCTCCAATCACTCACTCATTCACGCACACGTAACATTCACTAACTCACCCGCTCCCTCCTCCTCACTCAATCACGTAACATTCATTCACGCAATCACACGTCATTCACACGTTCACTAACTCACTGCTCCACTCCAATCACTCACTCATTCACGCACGCACACGTAACATTCACTCTTCTCAAACTCACACGCTCCTTAACTCCAATCACTCGCTCCCTCAATTCACGCACGCACACTTTAACATTCACTAACTCACCCGCTCCTCTCCAATCACTCACTCATTCACGCACGCACACGTAACATTCACTAACTCACCCGCTCCTCTCCAATCACTCACTCACGTCATTCACTAACTCACCCGCTCCACTCCAATCACTCACTCATTCACGCACACGTAACATTCACTAACTCACCCGCTCCACTCCAATCACTCACTCATTCACGCACACGTAACATTCACTAACTCACCCGCTCCACTCCAATCACTCACTCATTCACGCACACGTAACATTCACTAACTCACTGCTCCGCTCCAATCGCTCCACTCATTCAATCACGTAACATTCACTAACTCACGCAATCACTCACTCATTCACGCACACGTAACATTCACTAACTCACTGCTCCACTCCAATCACTCACTCATTCACGCACACGTAACATTCACTAACTCACTGCTCCACTCCAATCACTCACTCATTCACGCACGCACACGTAACATTCACTAACTCACCCGCTCCTCTCCAATCACTCACTCATTCACGCACGCACACGTAACATTCACTAACTCACCCGCTCCACTCCAATCACTCACTCATTCACGCACACTTAACATTCACTAACTCACTGCTCCACTCCAATCACTTACTCATTTACGCACGCACACTTAACATTCACTCACCCGCTCCACTTACTACCATTACGATTATTATCTCTTTACCCTTCAGGTGTGGATGGAGGCACTAGGATTGAGTCTCTACCAGATGGGAATCAGCTACGGGTTCCTGATAACCATGGCTGCCCACAACCCAGTCACCAACAACTGTTTAAAGTCAGTCCCTTTAGATAAGAAATGAGAACGCATTTCTCCCACAATATACATCACCCTAAAATCATACACGAAAACTGTACGAGGATATTCAGTGTACTTAAGGACAGTGTGTATAGCGACAGTGTCATGGGCGGGTAGAAGTAAGAACAGTAAAGTACGGTTATAACGAACTCTCCGCTCGTCACGCCAAGTCAAAACATTGATTACACAACAGTATCGCTTCATGTTGACTGGGTCACGTCCTATTGCGCAATTTAGTACAATAACCAGTCCAGAATTGTGAGACCAATTCATGTAACTGGATGCATAATTATTAATCAGTATTATTTGATACATCTAAGCACTCGTATATTGCACCACTACGCTCCTTCTTATCCTTGCAAACACATCACGCAGCGTGCTCTGTCGTACAACGAGCTCGGTCGTACAGCCAGCTCTGACTAAACGGCAACCTGGAAATAGTGGAAATTTCGAATCGACTTCTCCCGCTAGAAAAGTTCGGGGTCTGGTACGGACTTGATATTATATCAATCACATTGTGCTTTCAGAACTACATTGAATAAGCGCAAAAAAACCACAAAACAGGTGTAACCAATGAGCCTGATACATTTTGAATCATTTTACGACCTCATCAAACAGGGGCAGTCTGTGACGTCTCCGTTAAGGTCATGCTGCCTACACCTCTCCATAAAATATAGAAATACGATGTTATTAAAGTTTAAAATTAAAATTCATTTATAAATACCATTTTCTGATAAAACAAGAAATTGGAATTCAGTGTAACCATAGTTGTTTGTGATGTCTATTTTCACTTTCACAAAATTCGGATCGGCTGAAAAGTAGGTCAATGTCTGAATAGGTTAATGAGACTCATGTTTCGGTTTGGAAGACCCGAGTTCGATTCCCCACATGGTACAATGTGTGAAGCCCATCGCTGGTGTCCTCCGCCGTGATATTGCTGGAATATTGCTGGAATATTGCTAAACGTGGCGTAAAACCATGCTCACTCACTATAACGAACTCAAAGGGACAACTATTTTAGTTCGTTTAACCGTAGTTCGAGATACACATGTTAACTCGATGTAAAGCAATTTACCGGCAGGAAAAAGGAATGACGAAACACATCCTATCTGGCGTTTACCGAAATAACGGTAGGGTAGCCTAGTGGTTAAAGCGTTCGCGCGTCACGCTGAAGACCTGGGTACGATTCCCCACATGGCTACAACGAGTGAAGCCCATTTGTGGTGTGATATGTTGCTGCCAGTGGAATATTGCTTAAAACGGCGTAAAACTAAACGCACTCACTGAAATAGTCTTACCAACATTTATATATTTTCCAGTGTTATTGTTTACAGCAAGATTGCATCTGTTGGCGTAAAACAACATTCATTCTTTTCAAATGCAACAGAAAAATATCAAACTAATATAAAGTTCGTTATATCTTACCAATCATTTCCAGAGATGCAACTTTCATCACAATGCTCACGCTGCTGTCTCAGATATTCTTCGGCTTCGCGGTGTTCTGCATCACCGGCCACGTGGCGTATAAACGTGACGTCTCCATCGACCACTTCCAAACATCAGGTGAGTGCGGAATGAGTCTGGTGTTATGCCGCAATTGTGTGGGGAATCGAACTGCCTTTGGCGTTACGAATGAAAGTAACTTTATTCAGTAAACTATGTCACTTTTTGGTAAATTTAGCAACTTCATTGGTTAAAGCGTCGTGGTGATTTATCCACAAATGGGCAAAGTTATTTTAAACGCCGTGTATCTGAAATTAAAAGTGAGCGAATGAGTAGTAGCAACTTCATTATCGTTGGTGATCAATCCACAAAAAGCTTTTCGCCGCTTTTCGCCGCTTTTCGCCGCTTTTAGCAATATTCCAATATCACGGCGCGGGACACCAGAAATGGGCTTCACATATTGTACCCATGTGGGGAGTCGAACTCTGGTCTTCGGCGTGACGAGCGGACGCTTTAACCACAATGTTACCGGACCTTCTGCAGTTTTAGCACAACGAACATTAAGCATTGATTAAATCGAGTTCATAATTGAAAACATCATCGAGTTGATGTTTTCTTGTGAATAATTTGTTCCTCTTTGTAGGTTTCAAGCTGGGTTTTATTACATATCCCGAGGCGGCATCATATCTCCCGTTTCCTCAGCTGTGGTCCGTGTTCTTGTTTGTGATGCTCTATACATTAGGAATAGACAGTTTGGTGAGTCAGTGTTTTGTACACCTAGAGGGATCAGAGTGTTTGGTGAGTCAGTGTTTTGTACACCTAGAGGGATTAGAGTGTTTGGCGAGTCAGTGTTTTTGTACACCTAAAAGGATCAGAGTGTTTGGTGAGTCAGTGTGTTTGAACACCTAAAAGGATCAGAGTGTTTGGTGAGTCAGTTTGTTTGAACACCTAAAAGGATCAGAGTGTTTGGTGAGTCAGTGTTTTGTACACCTAGAGGGATCAGAGTGTTTGGTGAGTCAGTGTGTTTGAACACCTAAAAGGATCAGAGCGTTTGGTGAATCAGTGTGTTTGAACACCTAAAAGGATTAGAGTGTTTTGCGAGTCAGTGTGTTTGAACACTTTGAATGATTAGTGTGGTGAGTCAGCGTTACGGTATACTAAAATGATTAGATCGTGTAGTTAGTCAGTGTTTTGGTACACGTAAAAGTAATTGACAGCATCATAATTTACTTGTAGCAACATAAAATCTGTCAAATATGGTGGCCTTCACAGGGACAATTTCCACATATTAAACACATAATTCAATGAGTCAAGTTTATGCTTGCTGTTCAATTAGTCAACAGAGGGAATGTAAGATACAGAAAATACCGCATTCCCAACCAGGAATAAACACAACTGTCCAACCAAAGGCCGATACTATGCTGTTTCAGGTTCCCTCTTATGAAGTTGTGACAGCCATGTTCAGTGAATGGTTCCCGAATTTTGGTAAAAAGACGATGGCTCCTCAACGCCTGTGTATTGTTCCCCTCCTTCCTGCTGGCACTGCCGTACATGACACAGGTTCGTTGTCCTTACGTTTGTCCTTACTTTTGTCCTTCCTTGGCCCCAAGACCGCCTCCGTGGTGTAGTGGTTAGAGCGTCCGCCCGGAGAGCGGAATGTCGCGGGTTCGATCCCCGACCGCGTCATACCAAAAGACGATCAAATATGGTACTTGTTGGTCCCTGCCTGGCGCTCGGCATTATTGGGTACAACAAGGACTGGTCGGCTCGGAGTCAGTATAATGTGTCTGAGTGGGGTATTCATGCTTCACTGCGGCATGGTATCTCAGTGGGCTAGCACTATAAAACCAGCTTCAGTCTGGGCTAGTACAAGCAGCCGCACATACACATACACACGCATGCACGTCGTCATATGAGCAAAATATTCTCAAGCACGACGTAAAAACCCAATTTCACCTCACCTCCTTGGCCCCAATCATTTCAACCCAGAGTCACACGCAAATTGAGTCTTGGTTCATGAGCATGACACATGTGGTCGTGGGGGGACACTAAACGTGGTTAATGTCTAAGGCAACGTATACTTCGGGTTTCCCTCCCACATTAAGCTGACACGCTGTGGTATAAGTATATAATTGGTTGGTTCAGTCGCCTTTGGGCACACCCAAAACCTGTGATTCTGGGTTCTGGGTACCAGATGTAAAACATACCCAATCACTTGTCGTAAGTGTTGTAAACGTCTGTTCGAAATTTGTGGAAGTCTGCCATGATGTGTGTCAGTTTTGATCGTTGTTTCTGTACAACTGTCTAACTCTCCTCTCCGTGTACACATCATTTGTAGAACCAAGCCGTTTGTAAGCATATGATAAAGTAGGGAGCTACGATGGGGGTAACGCTACGAAGGCTTTGTGGATCAACACCCACGTTAGAATTGATCCCCAGCAACCAATCTCTGTTTAAAAGATCAGGAGACCCGTGAAGATCCGGGTTAGAACTGGTCTTCATTAACCCATGCATGTCGTAAGAGGCAACAAACTGGATGACTTGGCTGACACATGCCGTCGTATGCCAGTTTGCGTACATCGATGCTCATGCTGTTGATCAGAGGATTGTCTGGTCCTGACCGCCACCATATAGCTGGAATCTTGCTGAGTGCGGCGTTTAACAACCAACCAACCAACCGTGTGGAGTTCAGGGACCCTATTCACAGAGCCCTATCCCTGTTTATAAGATCAGGAGGTCAAGTAATCGAACTTCGAAGGCGGGACCGCCTCCGTGGTGTAGTGGTTAGAGCGTCCGCCCGGAGAGCGGAAGGTCACGGGTTCGATCCCCGACCGCGTCATACCAAAAGACGTTAAAATATGGTACTTGTTGGTCCCTGCCTGGCGCTCGGCATTAATGGGTACAAGAAGGACTGGTCGGCTCGGAGTCAGTATAATGTGTCTGAGTGGGGTATTCATGCTTCACTGCGGCATGGTATCTCAGTGGGCTAGCACTATAAAACCAGCTTCAGTCTGGGCTAGTACAAGCAGCCGCACATACACATACACACGCATGCACGTCGTCATATGAGCGAAATATTCTCAAGCACGACGTAAACCCAATTTCACCTCACCTCACCTCACCTCGAGGGCGGTTATCACTGGTTTGGCGATTGTTTACAGACCACTGTCATAGTTATATATGGAGTTAAAATCGTTAAGAAATGATAATGAAAAAGAAAACAACCTTTTTCTATTTTTTTTCAGGGCGGTGTATATTTTCTCACTCTTGTAGAGTGGTACGCCTTCTTCCCTGCTATCATCCTTTTCGCTATGTTGGAGTGTGTCGTTGTCGGCTGGGTATACGGTGGGTATATAATAACACAGCAGGTACCTCCAACAGAAATCACACATCACTAGTCATATAGTATCCCATACCAAACAACCCGCGAAGATCCTGGTTAGAACTGGACTTCACTAACCCATGCGTGTCGTAGGAGGCGACTAATGGAACGAGGTGGCGAGACAAGCTGACTTGGTTCAGTCGGGACAACTTCCAGATTCCGTAATTCGTAATATAAGAACCACAGAGTTAAAAGTAGGTTTAATGTCGATTTAAGTTTAGGCTTGGCTGATAGGCAGGCCAGTATCAGAGTGACAGCTGCTGTTGGACCGTAACTACCGCAGCGCTCCAAGCGGGCAAGGGGGCGCAACTCCAGGAATGTTTCCCATTGTGCACATCGTTACTTATGATGTTAATCACATGATTGCCTGGTCCACACAGTTTACATAAAGCAGGAAAATTGCTGCGTTAAACAACAAACAAAAAACAAACGAACTAAACATGAATTAATAATCTATAATTATAGTTCATTTTACAGGCACTTCAAACACATACAAACTTTACGTCATTACCGTTTCTATACCGGGTCAAAACTATCACGTTCTCGTCGAAATACTCTTCTAAAATGAAAGAACATTTTCGTTTTTCGGCCGGATAATTTTAGAAGGGCTACACGAACCATTACCTGAAACAGCAGCTGTTGTATTACGGCGGGGTATTGGTGTTGTCAACGTAATCGAGTCTGTGTGTTTGAAGACATTACATAATTAGTGTGGTGAGTCAGCGTTACGGTATACTAAATTATTGGATCTTGTAGTTAGTCAATGTTTTGGTACACATAAAATTAATTGACAGCATTATAATATTTTTTTTTTTTGTTTTAGACATTTTATTCATCCACCCCTGTTAAGTAGCATTGCCCTTCATGCCAATGACATGAAAAATAAACAAAAGAATGGGACATTTTACTATTATTATAATTTATTTGTAGCAATGGATTATCTGCAAAATTTGGTGCTATTCGCAGAAACAATTTCCACATATTAAACATACAATTCAATGAGTCAAGTTTACTCTTGCTGTTCAAATAGTCAACACAGGGACAGAAAATGCAAACAAAGATACAGAATGTACATCATTACATACTAGTAATAAACACAAGTGTCAACCCAAATGTCAACATGTTAAAGGTTTTTTTCTTCAGTTTTTACCGCATCAGTTTTTATAAGACCAGGTGTCATTATATATGTCATCGTATAGCAAATTACGTAGTGTTCATGATGTCGATCATTAGTCCAGATCTGATTACTTACGAACCGCCATGACGCGACTGGAATATTGCTGAGTGCGGTGTTCAACAAACAAACAAACAAACATGACATAACAATATGGTTTGGAACTTCCCGACATTTAATCTCATTCTCTCGTCGTGTGCTAAATATTTCAGGGGTAAAGAGGATAGACAAGGCGATGGTGTTACTCTGGGGCAAACATCTTTCCCCTATCATCTCATTTCAATGGAGATTTGCCTGTCCGATTCTTTTAGCGGTGAGTATATCCGGCGTTATCATGTCCTAACACATCACCGCACGTCTAAGTGGCCGTACATACTGAGAATGTTTGACCCGTGAAGGTCCGGGTTATAATTGATCTTCAGTAACCCATGCTTGTCGTAAAAGGCGACTGACGGGATTGGGTGGTCGGTCAGGCTCGCTGACGTGGTTGACACATGTCATCATCCCTTCTGCGCAGATCGATGCTCATACTGTTGGTCACTGGATTGTCTGTTCCAGACTCGATTATTTACAAACTGCCGCCATATAGCTGGAATATTTGCTGAGTGCGGAGTAAAACTAAACTCACTCACTCACTCACTCACTCACTTTCTTGATGTGAACATCTCTGCGTTCGCATTTCCGCCCGCCACAGTTTAAGAGAAAATACAACAGGCGTTTCTTATTGTGATCGCCCTTGATCCGGGTTAGAATTTGTCTTCAGCAAGCCACGCTTGTCGTAAAAAAAGACTCACTGACTTGGTTGACACATGTCACTTGCAGTATCCAAACTGCGTGGGGCGGTGGGGTAGCCTAGTGGTTAAAGCGTTGGCTCGTCACGCCGAAGACCCGGGTTCGAATCCCCACATGGGTACAATGTGTGAAGCCCATTTCTGGTGTTCCCCGCCGTGATGTTGCTGGAATATTGCTAAAAGCGGCGTAAAACCAAACTCAGTCAGTCAGTCAGTCCAAACTGCGTAGATCGATGCTCATACTGTTGATCACTGGATTGTCTGGTCCAGACTCGATTATTGACAGACCGCAGTCATATAGCTGGAATATTGCTGAGTGAGGCGTTAACCAAGAAACAATCAATCAATCTTATTGTGATCCTCTACGCGTTCGCATTGCAGGTTATGTTCGTCTTCTCGCTGTACTCCTATCGACCGCCCCAGTTTGAAGACTACAACTTTCCTCCTTGGGCCAAATGGTTTGGGTGGATCATTTCAATCGCCACCATCCTCCCGACCCCCGTCCTCCTCATCCTGTCTCTGTACACCAGCCCGGGAGATTCATTCCGCGAAGTACGTACTCACATCTTTTAATGTAACTTATCAATGGTGGATATCCAGCGTTCCTTTAAAGGCCCACTTTCACACATTTTCAACAATATTTTGCCTATATTATATACATTGGGGCAAATGCACTAACTTTAGCTTCCTATTGATGCAATAAAATGCGTATTATCTCTTACGACTTGCCTGGAATAGATAATTGAAACTTCGAGGCGAACAGCTTCCAAACAGAGAACACTTGCCATGTATGGAATGTAAACAGTTGCTCTGTACATCGAAAACTGTTGTCGAACTGGTTTCAATCACATGTTAGTTATTAGCCTATATAGGATATTGGTAAAGAGCGCTCCAAGGGACATAACTCTATGGGGTTCGCTTGAAATAATGCCCGGCCAGTAGAGGGCGCGAGTGTCGATTTAGTGCAACGTTGCATCAATTCATTCGAACGTTTTAATTTAATACTGTAATATAAATACGTATTTTGTAAAATTATTATATGTTAACTTCCCTGTGGACTGATAGTTAGTAGTATTGAGAGAAATGCATTATGTATTTTTAGAGAAGTGTTGTGTGAAATAGTGCCTTTAAAGCTCTTATCCCAAAACGTGCCGTTTTTATTGACACGGGGTTGCCTACCCATAGGCGATTCATAAACATGCGCATGACACAATCGGAATCATACATTAATAGTCACAAACAGCTGTTTATGTCGAGTGCTCATAGCGACTTCCATTCATTGTGTACGTGATGGGTCACGTCTTACTCTTAGCTCTGCAAGCCATTGTGTATTGTTCGGTGACTTCCGTCAAATGTTATCTGTTGGTTCTCAGCGGCGTCAATGCAAATGACTGTTATACATTATATATTTAATTATTACCTATATTTCTTGGCTGTCATTAATCAAAATTCCTCTATACATTATATATTGATATTACCTTTATTTCGTTGCTGTCATGAATCACAATTCTTGTATACATTTATAGATTGACATATTTTATACATTATATATTTAAATATTACCTAATTTCTTGGCTGTCATTTTTTGTCGTGAGTGGAAAATCCACTAAGTCTTTTTTAAGTATAAATTTGCTATTTTCTTCCAGAAAATACGCAACGCCTTCCAGCCAAAGCACAGATGGGCGACCCACGATCCCATTAATGACGATGACGGAAAGAGCCCAGCGACAGTCGAGTTGATGGCGGAAACATGAACGCCGAATCTAAACTCAGTTTTCCCCCAAATGCCATATTTTTGTGCTGTTGTTTCATGTTTGGGATTCGAACCCAAAGCTTATGGGCGACAAGTCCTAAAACAAAAATACTCTGTATATCAACAGAGTGAGTGGAGTGTGTTAGTATTTAACGTCACATCGGCAATATCTCAGCCATATCGTGACGAAAACAATTTATACAATATAAATGACAACATTATAAAGAGTAAAATCTGTCGACGATGGACAGTAAAAATCCTAGAGTATCACAGATATGAATATATAACTAGAATGTAAATATAAAACATTTTAATTGAAGAAGACAGTACAATATAAAACACGGGCTATAGATCGCCAACAACTGAGTATATCAACAGAACAATCAGTTGACTGTTAACACGCACTATATGATGCATAATTTTTATTTTTTTTTGTAAGATACAAGATAGATACGTATTTCATCAGCCCAAAACTAATATTCGGAAACGTTTCGCAAATCCGACAAGGAAATTTTGGTATTTCCAAATAAAAATAACGTCATTAAAATCAGTATGTATCAGATCATCCATCGTGAGACTGTACGGTGTTTGTAAGCCAAACATTCCAACGCAGTAACTGCAACCAAACGCAATAAATAACAATTCAATAAATCCACATTTCGAAATATTGATTAAGGTCCCCTTGTATTTTTGCAATGATTTAAACACGTAATAAATCCTTTTCGTGGTGACCACGATGGAAAAACATGAGTTTTTCTGACCCGTATGATCCTTTGACTCACACAAAACGACAATATGATGGGATGTTTGCTCATTTAAAAATACAAAAACAAAACCAACACTGATTTTCATACAAAACCATGTCTGTACAAGTATGGCCCTGGAATGTTTAATGTTGAATTTATTGGTGAATGTGAACATTCAAATTGTCAAGGTCAATACCGAGTGTAGCCTACATGTGACAGTATGACAGCCAGCACTCTCCTCATCATACGTATAAAGCCTCTGTCATCCTCCTGAGCTCTGAAGGGCCAATACGCCATTGGGTAAAAGGTTCTGTACCACAGGATCCCTTTGTTGCACACGACAACCAATCATGTCTCAGATACGCTCCAACGGGTTAAGATCGGGGCTCATTCAATCGTGAGATATGCCAGGGGCTGCTTAAGTAAGTTCTTTGTGTATATTACTCGTGGTCAGTTAAAATTACTTTCCACGTTTCTTATACACATTCTTCCAGTTTTATAAACAATACCCCACATCTTCATCTTTAATTTGAGTAAAATCTATGGTTGCATCATCATTGTTTTAAAAACTAAAAAGTTTACAAGTAACTTACTATTCAATCGGAACTCACCAGTGAAGATCCGGTTTAAAATCAGTCTTCAACAACCCATGCTTGTCGTGTAAGGCGACTAACTGGATCGGGTGGTCAGGCTCACTGACTAGGTGTATGCATGTTATCGTATCCAATTATATAAAGCGATGCTCATGATGTCACTCACTGGATTATCTGGTCCAGGCTCGATGCACACGGCCCGCTAACAGGTTTCACAGTGTCCATTGCTGGTATTATTTTCTTCATTTGTAAAGTTTGACACGTGGAAGTCATGTCTAAATTGCCCATTAGTGATCAAACCGATGCCATATGTTTCCGTGTTTGTTCCGGTGAAAACTTGCCTTGCCTGTGCATGTGTGACAGTTTTGTAGCATGATAAATTAACCTTTTTCTGCAAACACCTCGTGTCATTAACCATTGATTGTTATTGACAAACACATGCCTATGATAATCGGAATCGTACAGTGATTACTCATGATTATGAATTATGATTATGATTATTGTTGCGATTGTTACATTCATGTCGAAAACCCGAACACATGAAGGTTATGGTGCTTTCCACTGTTTGCAATGTCCATATGCTTTGCCTGTCATTATAATACTATGTATACAGGCCAGAGGCCTTATGTACAATAAACCATCTTGATCTTGATCTTGATCTTGATCTTGATCTTGATCTTGATCTTGAAGGTACGTGTGCTTGTGTCCTTGTTGTTCTGAAAGTTATTTAGTGTATTGTTGAATTGCACAGTTCTGTGTTCGTGTACGACAGAATGGGTAGTTGAAGCTTCCGTAAAATATACCGTTAGTCCAAGATATTGGTACGTGTGTCCCTGAATCACGAGTTGCTGTAAGCAGATTGAGTGTAAAGACGATCAGTGAAATACGTGCATGTAATCAGATCCTCCGTGATATCACTGCATGATGGCGCAGTGTTGTGTGATCAGCTCTTGTATGAGGAGCCTCAAAATGCTCTTGAAGAGCTTCAAGATACCACACATCTGTTTACTATGTAAAATGTGTAAACATTTATCCTCTACGGCAATAAATTGATGAAATTATCGAGATTTAGAGTCATGTGTTTGCATATAGTCTTTGTCAGGTGTAGAATTATCTGTCAGCTCATTTGGTGAGTGAGTGAGTTGGTCTTGTCCCAAAATGTATTTCAGTAATATCGCTGTTGGAAGCAGCTAAGTATAATGCAGACTGAAGCCTACGATCACGATCATAAGCAGGTCGACTTTGGGATTCGAACCAACGATAACCGGATCCTGAAAAAAGTATTAATGCAGCCGCAACACCTGTCAGATATTGCTTGTTAATTCATCCTTTCGTTTACACTGGTGACCAATGTGTACATTATTCCCAGAGCAAAACAGTGTTCCATTTTGAGATCTATGTGTCACATACTGTTTACTTGCTTGATTTGCGCTACGTCGTATGTGCGAAGTTTAGAGACTTATCGTGTCGTAGCATATGTCGATTGTTCTATTCTTTTTAAATTTTTTTATTTGTTCCCATGGTTACAAGTCAATAACAAGGGTATATGGTAGCAACAAGCACAGAAAAGGTGAAGATACATTGCTGTAGAGATGTAATAATAATTAATTTCTGAATATTGGGATGAGCGAATTCCATTTAAGATTGAATTTTTCGATTTCATTGTTTCTCTTTGAAATAAATTCTTCTACAGAAAATATCTCTTTTAATACATTTTTAAAATTACTGAATTTTGGAATTGTTTTTTTATATTACATAAATTGATATGTCTTTTGGCAGAGATAATGATTTGATTTAGTAATACATCATTATGCAATGTACCAAACCAAATCAAATATTTTGTGATGTTTATTTTTCGTGGTAAATAGTTATTAATCCAGAGTTTTAGATCATTCCAGAATTTCATGCCTTCACAGCATTCCCAATAAACATGACAAATGCTCTCAGAAACATCATTGCAAAAACTACACAAATCATTGTCAATCAGGTTCATTCTCGATAATTCTTTTTTAGTATAAATAACTCTTTGCAAAAATCAGTATTGAAAATCAAGAAGTTAAACGTCTTTCAATCCATGTCTATAAAAGTTAAAATTGTTCTATTCTTAATACCTGTACAAGAAGACCATTCAAGCTTGAAAATATATTTAGTCACCTTTAACATCCGAACGAAACAGACAAGACAGGTCAAATGTTTATAATAATAGTAATAATAAATGCGCATTTATAATGCGCGCAATCCAGTCAGATATGCCTGCTCAAGGCGCTACAAGGGGATTGTTAGATACAAGTCAGGGAGTGTTCACTGGATTTAAATGTCACTATGATACTTGGAGAACATATGGGTCTTCAGTCTTGCTTACATACTTTGCAATACGTTTTGGTACACGCGTGGTATACATTCGTTTAAGAAAGCGAAGAGTGAGTTTGTTTTAATGCCACTGTGACCCGCATTCCATTTATGTCACAGCGTGTCAGTGTAATGAGGAAGGAAAGTAATGCAAGTCACGGACCTTTACAGTTCGGTGAAATCAGCCACCACCGACATTGTTCCGGTGTATCTAGATATACAGTCGGGCGAACTAGGATTCTAATCACCAATGACCCGTTAAGATCCGAGTTACAATTGGTCTTCAGCAACCCATGCTTGTCGTAGGAGGCGACTAGCGCATCAGACTCGCTGAGTGAGTGAGTGAGTTTAGTTTTACGCCGCTTTTAGCAATATTCCAGCAATATCACGGTGGGGACACCATAAATGGGCTTCACACATTGTACCCATGTGAGGAATCGAACCCGGGTCTTCGGCGTGACGAGCGAACGCTTTAACCACAAGGCTACCCCACCGCCCCTCAGACTCGCTGACTTGGTTGACACATGCCATCAAGTCCCAGTTGGTTGATGCTCATGCTGTTGTTCACTGGATTGTCTTTTCAAGACTCGATTATTTACAGACCACCGCCATATAGTTGGACTATTGTTGAGTGCGGTGTTTAACAAACAAAGAAAGTTTGTATGCGACCTGCACAGCGATTTGCGGCGTCCACGTCGACATGACCACCATGTGAAGGTGGTGAACGTAATTGAGGAATTTCATAAGTCCCCAGATGACATCGTAACTGAATTTACAATTTTGAACAAAAATGCTCGTCACATTTTCAAAAAGTTATGACAGAATCGTCCTACTGGATTACGGTATGACGCATAATTGTGCATCTTTATGACATGGAAGAGCCAAAATTGTCGTTTGACAGACACGAATTCGTTTAAAAATGCATGCAACTTCAGGATGCAGTTAGATGGGGCAATAACAGTCAATGTTTGAGGAGCTTGGGACAACTGAATTTTTATCGCTCCCCAGCCTTGAATAAAGCTAAACGAGTCTCTTAAACACGCATATTTTTACTTTCAAAACGTTGCATGCAGCAAGAAAGTTTTCTTGAACACGTAAAAGTTGCATGCAGCCAAATAGTTATCCAGTTTGTACTTGAGACCGAGGCTTGCATGCGTACATATTATTTGATTAATCGTTCAGCCTAAACGACGTGAAAAGGGAACCTCTAAAGTCACGCAAGCAACACAGGCGTTCTATAATACTTCCCAAGTTTTGCATATAGTCAAACAGTCCAGTAGGTGAGGTGAGGTGAGGTGAGGTGAGGTGAGGTGAGGTGAGGTAAAAATGGGGTTTAACGTAACACTTAAGAATATTTCGCTCATATGACGACGTGCATGCGTGTGTATGTGTGGCTGCTTGTACTAGCCCAGACTTAAGCTGGTTTTATAGTGCTAGCTCACTGAGATACCATGCCGCAGTTAAGAATGAATATCCCACTCAGACACATTATACTGACTCCGAGCCGACCAGATCTTCAGTAACCCATGCCTGTCGTAAGAGGCGACTAACGGGATTGGGTGGTCAGACTCCTGACTTGGTTGACACATGTCATCGTATCTCAGTTGTGAAGATAGATGCTCAGGATGTCATTCACTGGATTGTCTGGTCCAGACTCGATTATTTAAAGACCGCCTCCATATAGTTGGAATAGTGCGGTGTAAAACTAAACTCACTCACTCACCAATCGATCTGATCGGAATATACTACTGACCGTGTGTTTCCCTTTGGAAAGACATACGCAGGTCCAGAAAAATGTCCTGAACACGAAAGGCCGAAACTCAGCCCTTTTATACCAATAGTAAGCGATTGATACTTCCCCACTTCATATCCAAATGACGATATTTGACTAATAATAATAATTAATACTAATTGGCCACATAGAGCCCTGAATCCCACGCCACAGGGACATGCTCTAAGCACATACGACACGATGGACATTATTATTCCTGATAGTCCAATCACCATCTTATAGATGATCATCAGACCTAGGCACGTCTACAGGACGCTGCTCTGCAAATAGTAATGGAAGTAACTGCCACAGTCCAGAAGCCATCACCAAACACTGCATGAAAAACAGTAGCTCTGACTTCTATGTATTTGATTACCGTGATAGAAAAATCGAGTCGTTCCAACCAGGTCAAGGAGGGATGCCTCCAGTCCACATCTCCTGTCCCCCAAATTGATCGTGGCAATATTCCCGCTTGGATTTGTTCGCTTGCAGTATACTTGTATCAGTGTGAAAAGTCTCATTGAGTTGTAGCATCACCTCAGAGGGTTTGCGATTTCTTGAGAAGTAGGTTTTTAGTTGGATTATGTTCTCCACACGATGATCTGATCAAGGAAACGTCTGATTGAATCTATATTTGTGGCCACGGTCATGCCTGCTAGATGCCATTCTTACCCAAAGGGATAGTGTATGTTATCATTTACATGTACATTGGCAGTTTGAGGAAGCCGTTTGTTGAATCATGGAGTTCTGGAATGGAATTGTCTAAAGGACTCGAGACGTATCGTGTATGGATTTCGTAATCACTATTTCGTCATTCAACACCTGGCTTACTAAGGTTTCCCGTTCTTTATCAGCTTTTGATCAAAACTAAACACTTTGCATAACAAATGAAAATATCATTGTCCGATGTGCCTTGTCAGCTGAAGACAGACGAATGCCTGATCTGTGACATGCATTGATTATTCAATATAACACTCACGATTGTTAATAAGTGATTTGCATTTGAAACTTTGAAACGCTATTCCCTAGTTAAGGGATAGTATTGTATAAGTTTGACTCTCATGTCTTGCATTTTCTTATATACCTTCCCTTGTTGTATTTTACTTTTAGTGACCGTTCAACGCCCTTGTCTTAAGCTTATGCCATATTGACAACTCTAAAATATATCCATAAACAGTTCTGATAAAAAAAAAACATATACTATCTTCATACTCCCTTTCGTGTCTTCTGGCTATTAAAGAAATGTCTTGCAAATATACACTTTCTAAATAATTGAACTATATAATGATCTTGCTGCTGGTCAATACAACACTATATGTGGTGCCGTTCGTGGCACAAGTCATAACAAACTTTATAATGAAACCAAATCTCAGTCCATGCAAGATAGAAGGTATTGCCAGAAGTTAACTTTTTTCTATAAGATGTACAACAACCAATTGCCAAAATATCTTTGTGACCTGATCCCAAACTCCGTCTCCGGAACTACAAACTACAGCTTGAGGAAAACCTCTGAAATACAAGGAATTTACAGTCGCACTGCCTCTTATGTAAATCCTTTTTACCTGCCACAATAAATTTATGGAATGCCCTACCAAATTCCAAAGCGTCATGTAATCTCACAGAATTTAAAAACCTAATTACAAAAACTGAAAATAAGATTTACTTTGACCTTAATTATGGCACTCGTTTTTGCCAAATCGTTCACTGCCGCCTCAGGCTCGGATGTAGCGACCTAAATGCCTATAAGTATAACAGACATTTAATAGACAGCCCTTGTTGTTCTTGTGGACATCAGAGGGAAAACGCCCTACATTATTTCCTCACTTACCGTAACTATACTCGGATAAGACTTAATCTGTATTTTTACACTACCAGTTATAACCTGGATACCATTCTTAAGGGAAACAAAGAACTTACTCCCTGTGTAAACCAGAAAATAGTTGAATACGTCCACGATTATATAACCAAGACACAACGCTTTAAATTTTCTCAGGAAAATAATTAAATTTACTCAACAACCTTCTCATGATTGATTTATATTTCTACAATGGCTTGTGAGAGAAACACAACTATAATTCTCTAACTTATGACTACTTAGAGAATAGTTGTATTTCATGTAATCTGTATATATATTTTTAAAAAATATTATATTTATGCAATGGTCAGTATCGATGACGTCAAACCCCCATTTTCATGTTGTATTATATGTTGCATGGGAGCGGTGTTAATATAAGCAGTAATGCTTGTTCACCAATCCCAATTCATCTTCATAAATAAAAATATGTTTAAATCAATACGACATCGTCCTCTGTTGGTAACTCAACCATGCTGCAATCGCTGGTAATACAATGGTTGATTCAGATGCAAAAGCAGTTCAACAAATCTGTGACACCACTTCTGATACCTGACACTGAGTATAAACCCGTCGTTAGATCTTACATCCATGATTTAATGTCAAAGAAATGGGACACCAAAGAAGTTACAAAAAGTTGCATCAAATTAAACCAAACATTGGTTACACATCCTCAGGTTGTCAGCCCAGATTTGAAGAGGTCGTCATAATGTCACAGTAGATATGCACATATATATTTATTTAAAGATGGAGATCCTCCGATTTTGGCATCCTTTGTGATGAAAGAAACACGGTCAAACATGTCTTGTTTGCCTGTATTCTTGTTTCCATACCAGGGAATAACTACTTGATAGTTTCATCTTTAAAATATGTTTTGTCATTAAAAATTAGAAGTTGGACGAACATGAATAAATGACACATTTTTAAAGGAGAACAACTTTTTTGCTCTTTATACGACGTTTCAGAGTTAATTCTTGCTCCTTCATTCACCCGATGTAACATCGTATAAAGAATAGAAAGAACAATAAAAAGGTCGCATGTAATCAAAGTTGTTATTTAGTAATTGGTTCTTAAAAAAGAAATTGATTTGGTTGATCAATTTGTACTTAGTAATATTTTACAGATATGCAATATATGATTATTAACTGTGGCCGTATTTGTTACGGCCGTCCTCGTGACGGGGGCTGAATTATCGTAATATGATCGTACCCTTAAGCGGGTATGTAAGCCAATGTCAATTACAGATTATTTATATCTACCACCGTCTTTAATCTCAGACTATTTGTGTATTTCGAAAATTGCGTATAATCTATGACCTATTTTTGTAAAAAATGTGTCTCGTCAAATATTGCCGATGTGACGTTAACTCCTATGAAGAACACGTCTTTATCAATGTAATTAAAAAAAATATTAATTTTAAGGAAGCTTAGTTATCGTGCATTCATGATCTCGAAAATGCATCTGTATTATCGACAAACCGACAAACCCTTTCCACATGCAAATGAAATCTCAGCTAAAAGAAGTATAGTGAAGCCCCGTTAGTCCGGACCCCGATAATCCGGATGTCTCGCCTCCCGGACAATTTGAGCTTGTTACCAATCTATGCCTATTTAATTTGCCTCGATAATCCGGAAATTCGGTTTCCGGAACCGGACGGTAAGTAGCTGTAACCAATCAGTAAAATAAACAGTAAATTGCTTCACAGTCTTGACGCTGTAAGTTGTGTTCACGAACCGTAACAATACCTCCCGGCGATGTTTACTTAACTGGCCTCAAACTTTTGAGAAATGTCAATTAAGGGTTGTTGTTTTAATTAGACATTACAAGCTCCCGACTGAAGATGCTGTACATTTACACTTTGATTGACACCACAATACAAAGGCGTGGATGACAAGTGAGCTGTTTTGTGATTGGTTAATGTACTTTGACAGACAGATGCAGTCACGTGGATTTAAAGTGATTTTGCTTCTCGACAACGCTTCAAGTCACAAGTGTGCTTCGCTAACTTTGCGAAATGTGACCAAATACCACGTCTCATATTCAACCGATGGATGCAGGAACATTTCGGACATTCAAGGCATACTACAAGAGATCGCTTGTTAGAGATTACCTCACCTGTGCTGAGGAAGGACGTGATCAGACACGTCGGATCAACATGCGGATGTCACTCGGTAAAAATAAATTACAGTTCCAACCATATTGGCGATAATGTCACGGATTTGTAGGTTTTGTTTTTTTGCAGATGGGGAGACAATAACAATAAGGCCACAGACATGCTTTAAGGGCATACAACGTAATGGGCTTATTACCCTAGATAACCCATGGTGAGGCGCTAGAGTGAGTGAGTGAGTGAGTATGGTTTTACGCCGCTGTTAGCAATATTCAGGCAACATCGCTGCGGGGGACACCAGAAATTGGTTTCATACATTTCACCCATGTGGGGAATCGAACTCGAGTCTTCGGTGTGACCAGCGGACGCTTTAACCAGTAGGCTACTCCACTTCCCCTTGAGTCGCTAGAAGTTTCATGGTCATGACTTATCGCCGCTTACAAATACCTTCAATACATGTTTGTTAATAACAGAATGCGCACAAACAGTTGTTTGATAAGCCTTTTAATCCTACAAAAGACATTTTTTGCTGAGGCCCGCAATATCCCAAAATATCATTACATTGTGGGATAACGGCTTCCAGGATAATGTGTCTTGAAAGTGTCTTTTCATTCTAAAAGAATCATACAATGCTGTAGCAGTTGCGTAATAGTTCGTAATTGATTTCTACCAACGGACATAATACATGGACGGGCGCTTTACCAGCTCACAACTTCACCTTCGGCAACACTGAAAACAGTAAAAGATATGTGTCCTTAAAACATAATATTTCCCCAACTTCTCGGCACAGGGATATAGCTTCCACCTACTTTAATCAGATTAGACGGCAACTTGGTGGGAAAGCCATTCATACAAAGCAAACGCTGTCATTCGAGGTTGAGTTGAGTTGGACTGAAGGCGAAGTTTGTCGATTTATAGTCATTAGCTTTTCCTTGGGAAACTGTTAGTGGCGGAGGTTCCAGAGACCCCCGAGCGGATCAGTTGATAACGAAATAGGAGTCCTAATGACTGCTCAAAACAAATTTACTTTCCACAAATACTTATGTCAGTCAATCAGTAACTATGTTTTCGCTGTAAGATAATGGATCTACAAATACTGAACGAGAGAGTACAGGAACATGTATGCATACCTTCCGTCGAACTTTCAAACTTTTTTTATTAAACATAGACTCCGAGATAAGGCGTTCACCCAAGACATCAACGTCAGTGGTTTTATCCCTTAACCTAAAGACATTGTAAAGACGTTATTTCGTTGTCCATGCTCGGTGATTGGTTGGTTGGTGTTTTATTGTTTAACGCCACACTCAGCAATATTCCAGCTATATGGCGGCGGTCTGTAAATAATCGAGTCTGGACCAGACAATCCAGTGATCAACAGCATGAGCATCGATCTAAGCAATTGGGATACGATGACATGTGTCAACCAAGTCTGACCACCCGATCCCGTTAGTCACCTCTTACGACAAGCATGGGATACTGAAGGTTCATTCTGACCCGGACCTTCACGGGTGAATGAAGAGATAGCATCAAAATGAGGTAATATGATGCCCCAATCCTTATCACCCATACTGCATGTCTTGAACATGTTGAACACCAGTGCTTGTCGCCGTCCATTAAACCATGTGGTTAATACTCATGCAGTTGGTCTATGAACATGTGGACACTGTTTCAACAGTGGGGTAAACCTTATTTGTTTTTAGTAACCTAATACATTCTGTGGCTAGTTCAATATCAACAAGAATTTCTGGAGGGTGGGAGGTGTCATAGCAATTACTGGATAACACTTTTACTGCTGCTGAGAGATCCAAAAAGACAGGGACTTTCTAACATATTGCCGAGGACTATATACGAGAGACCCGAAATATAACCAAAGGGAAACGGAGACTCAAACAACCACCAGTGGATCGAGGAACTTTGAAGTATCCACACCAAAATGAACTCTTTGAGAATATAAGCCATTTTTCAAATGATCAATATTATGTGACCATCCAGGTTATGGTCATTGAGGCCTAAAGAAAAATACTTTCTTTGAAGTTCAGTTTTCAAACTTGTAATGTGATTTTACGTCGTTGGTTATTTGGCTGTATATTGCATTAGGCAAGGTGTTCAATACTTATTAGCAGTATTAATACCAGCCAAGTGTGCATTACGTGTGCTTCAGATCAATACTGTCGCACTCTTCACATTGCTATTCATTTTGAATTTTCAGGCGCGAAGCAAGCCAGTTTTTTCGTGTAAGTCCTGCAGGCTGCAAAGCTTTATATTTAGATAGTATTGAGGGCTTGCCCAACCTTTTTCGCAACAATTTTTCAGGCAACAAAGCCCGGGCTTTTTTATAATGGTAGCTATGCCTCTGATTTTGATAGAAAGCATGCCTTGGTATTCTTACATAATCAATATTGGAATTAAAAACTGTCAAATCGATTCCAGTTTTAACTCACATCTCGTCCAGATCACTGGTGTGACATCATTACCTCTGATGAAATATAGATACATTTTGACACTGGGACACCTGTCGTCTGCCTTTTTACTTTCCTTGTATAGATATTACGTGACTTAAGACGTGATGTTCTCATACCATTTCTTATCGAAATTATGACGCCTTTTCAGAATCTCGTTTCTGCTGTTTAGGGAATTTACATAAGGTATTCTTCAGCGTTTGTGAGTAGTTAGAAAAGACCAAGAAAGATCTTCTGTTCTAGACAAGTTGTCATTGATACTATATACATTTTCCCGTTTTGGAAGGCAAGCTTATTTGGAAAGCTGCCGTTAACGTTGCTCTTTCCTTTGATTCGACTTATTACTGAATTAATAGGCAAAATATCATTGAATGTGGCACTAGATCAACTGGAAGAAGACCAGAAAACGAACAAGGATTAGTATTACATATTTACACTATGGCTGTTTACAAGTCCTAAGGCTACAACAGTTGCCACCGATCTAATAATACGTCTTACACATCTTGAGAAGAAGTGAAAGAATGAAAAGCTTCAGTGGTTTCTACTAGTATTTGAAATGATGTCCTGATCTATTGGTGAAGATTCCAGGATCCCTTGAGATACAGAGGTGAAATTTACATCTCAGTATCTATTCTACTGATCAAAGGGCACGTCCGTATTACTTTATTTTGTCTTTCCTACGCATTCGACACATGGTTTACCGCCAGTGGATGATGGCTGTGTTGGACCTGCTGCCTCGGTTGTATGTACAAGTTCATTTGTCAAACCTAACTCAGATCGTATAATCGGTCACTGACACCAACCAGTTTGCCATCTTCTTTCTGGAAATATGGAGTCTAGTAACCATTTGACAAGTCTAACACCGGCAATGTGAACTTTATGCAATCAACTGAACGACTTGTGCAGCGTGCGTCATCCTGAAGATTACTGCATCCTGATCTTATTAAATCAAGTGTTCAGCTGAAGACAACCATGTCACTTCACCCACTGTGAGGGGCCAAGTGGTTAAAGCGTTCACTCGTCACGCCGAAGACCTGGGTTCGATTTCCCATATGGGTACAATGTGTGAAGGTCATTTCTGGTTTCCCCCGTCGTGATATTGCTAGAATATTGCTAAAAGCGGCTTAAAACCATACTCATTCTCTCACCCACTAAGACCGACGCTGTCAATGATACAGTAGATTTTTTAATGACAATGAGACTGAATGTGTGGTTTGGTTTGGTTGTTGTTTAACACCGCACTCAGAAATATTCCAGCTATATGGCGGCGGTCTGAACTAATCAAGTGTGGACCTAGCAATCCACTGCTCAACAGCATGGGCATCGTTCCACTCAATTGGGATACAATGACATTTGTCAACCAAGTCAGCGTGTTTGACCACCTGATCCCGTTAGTCGCCTCTTACGACAAGTATGGGTTACTGAACACAAATTTTAACCCGGGTCGACTGTATTTGTGACTTCAACGGGAAAGGGAAACCGTCTGAGCGCTGATATCGTGGACATGGCGATAACGGAAGATGCTCTGAATACTATTATTACAGCTGACCACAAACAACTGCCTGAACCATTAAACTCTACTGAAGTTACAAAGAATGCAAGTAGTTTCAGTACCCTGCGCACACCGGTGTGTATCTGTTCAGTACTGATGACGAACAAATGTAATCAATTCGTATAAGATGAGGTATCCGCAGTTACAATCATAGTGTTGTGGACTTGTTATCTCTGCACGTAGCTAGTTGTCTCAAGCAAATACTTCAACCAAAGGTAAACCTTCAGGCAAAGGTACACGCGATATCTCAATTTACCTCGGAGAAATAGATAACTACTTGTTAGGCAACTGTGTAAAACGAATTACGGCTCTGCAGACAGCTGAGCCACACACGTATGTATGTCATGTATCACATTCATTGGCAAATCACCACACACGTAATTAAAGTATCCAAAGAACTTGTTAGGCAACTGTGCAAAACAAATTGCACTGCTTCAGACAACTGAGCCACATACGTATGTATGTACTGTATCACATTCACGTATGTATGTGCTGTGGCAAATCACCGCGCATGTATTTAAAATATCCATCGAATTCTTCTGTGAACTGTTCTTACTTGCGTCAGAATGATGTTTAACGTTACAGCTAAGTTGAAGATCACAAGCGAAGTCAACATCAAACTAAGACACTTGCGTCTACTGATTTACGTAATTGAAGAGATGGAGTTGTTCCCGGAAGGTCAAGGAGGTCTTCTTCAGTGAACAGTTCTTGTCTACGAGTTCATCCAGAAAAAATCCCCATCTTGTGTGATTTGTTTAGTTTGTAATTTGATTATCGAAAGAAATTTCACTGAATTTTGGCTGCACTTTAGTAGCTCATGAATACTTCAGATCTTGAGATGTAGGTTTTAGTTTGATTACATTCTTCACGACAGTAAAGAATTTAGAAAGTTTTTGATTGCGCCTAGTCTTGAACACGGATTCAACTGCATGCCTAAACTTATTTTTTTATTATCTTGCATAAATATGCATTACCAGATCGATTAAGAGAATGGGGTTTGTATTAATCCATGTTTTGTTGAAATCTTTCTTTTCGTCCAATACAAAGTGTGTCTGCAACAGTATTGTTGAGTTCCTTCGTGTCTCTTAAACGTATTGAACCTATACGTTTGAACCTCCACTGTACAAGACCATGTGCCATGCATCCAAACTGCATTTGCTGAAACATGTAACGCCTTTCCATCCATGTGGACCTCAGTGAAGTAACATAATGTTTTCACACCTTAATCAGATTAGCCCAGAAAGGACACATTTTCACATGCAGAAATCAACAACTCTTGGCCTTAAATTCTATAATATTTTCTCAGATGTTTGTCGCTGCGATATATTATTTGAATTTCAGAGTGCAATATCTGAACAATGTAAATTAGTGTCACTTCCAACGGTTATCATTTCAATAAACGTAAATATATCTGTTTCATTTGATATTGGCGCTGTGGCTTATTTTTTATGACACTGACTAAACTTCAGACCAGTCTTCGTTACTTTGTCTGCACTAAAGTCCTGTGACCATCAACAAGCATAAAAACAGCATCTCTAACTTGTAGCTCAGTGTTCTGTGCGCTACCTCGCCTGGAGTACAGACTAATGCCTAACTGCTGGCCTGCTTCGATTGTTCAATAACAACACACAAATAAGCTTGCAATAAATGATAGGGGAAATTAAGGGATGCTTATAGTTAATTTTGCTCTTCTGGCAAGTTCCCTTGCCCCTCGTGTATTGTTTTTAATAAACCAGTGCCTTCCGTCTGAATGTAAATCTCTGTTGAAGCACTGTTCAATGCCCTTGTCTTTCAGGCTTTGTCCTAAGAAAGGAATATGCTTCTATTATATGTGGCCTCAAATGAAAAACTGACAAGTGTATCTCTGTTTATATGTAATGTATTCACGACATATCTAAGGGATGCTCGATGTGGATGCCATGCTTTCATAATCTCAAGAGGAAGCAAATGCATAACCTGATAGTAAAGTATCGAATAAGTAAATCAGATATTTGATAAGCCTTTTTATGTGAACAAACACAAATTTAACTCAGTGAGACAATGGTTACAGAATAATGTGTCTTGAAAGTCTTTATTCATCCCCAAAATACCGTGTATACGATCTTAACAGATATAGTTCGTACTTCATTTCTTCAATGGACAAACCATGGACGGGAGGTTTACCAGCTCACAACTTCACCTACGGCACCACCCAAAACAGCAAAAAGATATGTATCCTTAAAACATGATATTTCCCCAAAGTGTCGGCGCAGTGTTATATGTTTCACCTACTTTAATAAGATTACTTATGTTATTTATACACATAAATATTTTTTCCATCCGTTAAATAATGGCTCTACAAATATTGAACAAAAGCAAGTCTGTTATTGCATATTAAAAAAAATGTCCGACATTATATCGGAATCCAGTTGCATGCATTAGATCATCCTTATCTGAGTATAGGAGCATGTACATATACCTTTCTTCGAACTTTGGAACTTTGAAGTGAGCACAGTCTTTTGATACCCGGTATCTTCATACCCGGGCCGCGTCCTACTTTAAGACGTTAACCATACTATGGTTTGTGCATGTGAAATAATCTTGACCACCACCTAAAAATGGATTTCATCCCAATCCACCTCCTTGTCAATCATCAAACACTGACTGTCATTCCCGTTACCATCTGATAACTGCTATAAAGACAATTATGTCGCAACGTTTTAAATGGTTGTATCACTTTGAGAGGTCTTGTGATTATATATATCCTGGCTAGTATCGTTGTTCTAAAGTTTGGTGTAATCCCTTGGTATGATCACCTGGTTATATAAAAGCATAACAGCACAGATTGAAACAAAGATACTTGACAAGGTACCATTAAAACCCCAAAATCAACGATGGACCCTGTTCAGGAAGTAAACGGACAGTTTACAGGATTGATTCGAAACCAAAGTCAAACGACGAATCTAATTGCTACAAACCTCCATCAAACTGCTGGAGTACGATTTACGGGTCAGAACATTAAGTCGTCAATATGAAGCTAATCACCATGTTCGACGGCAACTTGTTGTGACGCCAGTCAAGGACATATAATTGAAACTGGGGTAATTGTCGCGTGAGATGTGTCCTGTTTTCAGATGAGTCTCGGATTACTTTGCACTTACTTCATTGGCGTTGTCATGTCTGCTATGATGAAACATCTGTGGCTGCGCAATTTAACAGGTTTACCGGTATTTACAGGTTCACACATGAAAACGATACGTATTGCGATACGCTGATTGAAAGCCGGTATTTTGACATGCATTCGGAAACCTTCGTAACACTTGGAAATTGTAGTAATGGTGGTGGGAATGATCGTGGTGAAAATTACATTTAATTGGATTGTTAAGTTCTGTTTGAAGCTGTGTTCTTAATTTTTTGTTTTTTAAATTTTGTTTTGTGTTTCGCTATGTTTTGGATCTGAATGTTTTAAATATTTACTCAATTATGACGAGAGGTCTCTGATATGTCGTGTCCAGGTCAAGTTGCTGCCTAAAATATCAGGGCTGAGAGTGGAGGAACTAGTTCAAACTAGTAACGACTGTGTTGATGTTAAATTGTTCTCTTCCTTGTTTCATTTGTGCCAAATATTATTTACATTTTTAATTTGTCATGATTGCAAGATTTTATTAAGGTTAATCAAGCAAAGTGATGTTGTTGTGGTTTTGCTTTATAAATTAAGCATTAACTCGATTATAAGTATTTTTTGGTAAAAGACCCCCATCTTGCAAATATTGCAATACATATCACAATATATGCTTTTTACATCGCAATATGAAAATTCTCTGCAATACCCACCCCTAGAACTTGCAACACTGAGCGAACGAACCATTCCATATTGAACAAGATCACTGGACAGAACTACAGGGAAAATATTCACACCCTGCACGAATCGTCAATGGTTATCTCCCTCAATTCGCTATTGGAAGTACGCCTCCTCGAATGAATGAATTTGCGAACCAAATACGTTAACGTTTTAATTTCGTATCTTACCCCTTTCGTCCTTCAAGATTTCACTGGGTTCCCAATTCGTTTTTATCATTTTTATGTACCTGGGATGATGTCAAACTGTAAACGTCTTCGGGAAAGACAACAATCCAGATTCACAATTCACATCCAGAACACGAATTTAGTCCGTTAATCTGATGTTATATCAAGCTTTGCATGCAAAACAAGTGGGACTCCTCAGTAATACGTTCATAGTTACACGAAATGAAACCAACTAAACATGTAGATTACACCTACTTGTGTCCAGAATTGAGGAGTGAGCGAGTTTAGTTTTACGCCGCTTTTAGCAACATTCCAGCAATATCACGGCGGGGACACCAGAATGGGCTTCACACATTGTACCCATGTGGGGAATCGAACCCGGGTCCTCGGGGTGACGAGTGAACGCTTTAACCACTAGGCTACCCCGCCGCGCCCAGATTTGAGGAAGTTTTGACATCAACTTTACCAAGCTTTCAAACATAAAACCAACGTTATCATCAAGCAAATATGTTGGTGTGGTTCGATAAATAAATCGATAAAAAGGTTCTTACTTGGTAAAATCGAAGATCCGAAAAGACACAAGAAAGTTATTTGACTAAAACACTGGCGTTTGGAGAATAAAAGCTTGACATTTTGTCTAGTGTGTACAAATCAGATTTGATAGGTTCCCGTGTCATGTCTTTGAAATATATTTTTTATCGAATTTATATATTATACTAAACGCAAAGGTTCAATAATCTAACTGTTTCATTTGATTAGATTATCCTTTCCCATTCCATTTTTCAGAAGCGAAATAATTTTTCAAAAACAGAACACGCAATATTCATAATTCAATCGCTTCTTCAGATCACAGGCCATTTAAAGAGCACAACTTACAGTTGAA